ATAAGTAGGAGGATCATGGGCTATGGCTACACCAGGCAAAAAGCATCAGACCCTATTTAAAAAAAAAACTCAAGCAAAAAGGGCTGGAGGCATGGCTCAATTGGTAGAGCACTTGTCTAGCAAACACAAGCCCCTGAGTTTAAACCTCCATAGGACCAAGATGGGGAAAAAGTCTCAATAAATTTAAAATCATTAAAATCTACAAAGTCCATTCTGCAATCATAACGGGATGGAATTAGGATCCCACAACACAATTGTTGGTCTTAGACTGCTGAGCTATTCAGTCTCGCGTTCTCTGATTTTTCTCTTTTCCCTTGTACCTTTTCTACTCACTGCTGATATAGTTTTTGTAGAGCAGTCCTTTTATAGGGGGTAATTGTCCCTTCTAATACGTTAGAGGCTGAGAAACTGAACCAACAAGCTTGCAGAACAAAGGACAAGGCTCTGGATAAGCCCACGGGGGCCTCTTCCTACAAGTGATGTGCAGGTTCTACTCTAGGCACCCCTAGAGCTACTCCTGTAACGTGAGTCATGTTCAGGACAAGCAGCAGTTACAGGCATTATGTGTGTTAGTAAAGCTGAAAGCCCCAGGCTTGGGATGGAGGGTGGAGTGGTGTTCAGATTAATAGGGAAGACCTTTTCTTTTTTTACATATTTTTCTGCAAACTACAATTTCCCTTGATGATAGGCCTTCCCGTAAAAAGATCATCAATCTTGCCGTTCCTTGTGCTAGTTTTTTATTTAAAGTCAGTATCACAGGGCCTCACACCTTTATTTCTTCTCAACTATCCTAGGAACATGTCTTTGTCTCCTCAACAAGATCAAAGTCCTTTAGGGAGAAATGGCTTTTTGCATTTCAGTCTGCCTGCCAGTATAGAGGCACTCTGGGCTCATTAGTGAGCCCTTGCTTGCTAGTTGCTCAGAGCTCCACAGGTGTGCCCAGAGAGCCACTCCTTCAGGTTCAGGAAGCCTGGCAGGAGTGGATGCAGCAGTTAGGGGCTAGGGCAGTGGGAGCTTTTGGATGTGGTCTCTTTGGTGTGAGCTCATGATGGTGAAAACTGGCAAATGTGTCGAGTGACTGATGAAAGAAACAGCTGAAAAGAATTGGAAAAACCCTACAGAAAAGATGAAGCTCTTCATGTACCAAATGAAGAAATTTCAGTAAGATGTACATACATCTTACTGTATGTACAACATGCTACCATTCACCTGAAACAAGATATTAACGTAAGGGCTTGCATGTGATGGGACTCTGCAAGGATGTGCCATGGTGGCTGACTCAGAGGTGACACGGTGGCTGGAGAGAGGTGGGGAGACTCATCCTGTAAACCCTTCACACTGTTGAGTTTTGAACCATGTGACAGCATTGTTAAAAACATTAACTTTTTTTGTGTGTGTGGGACTGGGGTTTGCTTCAAGCTTGCAAAGCAGAAGCTCTACCGCTTCTGAGCCCCACCTCCAGTCCATTTTCTCTGGTTATTTTGGAGATGGGGTCTCATGAATTATTTGCCTGGGCTGGCCTCAAACTGTGATCCTCCAGATCACAGCCTCTCAAGTAGATAGGATTACAGGTGTGAGCCACCAGTGCCTGGCTTAAAGACAGTAGGTGTTAGATTCCTTTTTGTGTATCTCCAAATTTCATTCATAATTATTTCCTACCCAAATAACCTCTTTTACTAGTCAAAGACTGTGTTAAAATAACAGAAAGATCTGGGTGCTAGCTGCCCATTGTGTCCAGTGCATGTGAACCTGCCGAGCTCTACATTGACAATTTATAAATTTTTCCAAAGGTATATGTCAATTAAAAAGTCATAAATAAGATGAATAGATTATTTAGGTCACTTTTCTTTTTGTTGTCTCTTATTAAAAGAACAGTATAATATCGTATGTATTTGCCTAAAAAATCACTTTCCAAATGTTTCACTAATGTTTCTCAAAAAGAAAAGAAAATCTCCCATAGCTTTAGTTAGCACTGGCAGTCCCGTATGATGGGGCCAGGCCTGATGGCTGCTCTTAACTTTCTCCAATGTTTAATGGCCTTCAGGTCAGTCGCACTTTCCTGGAGCTTCTCTTTGAGTTTATCCCCCAATAAATATTTTAAAGGCATTTATTAATAAATTACCACTAGTAATAATCAAAACAAGATTAGAAATGAATCTTGGTTGTCATTTTGACAGTTGTTCCTCATCAGTCATTTTAATTAACCAAGGCATTACTTGCAAAAATCAAATTACTCCTCTGGCTAGATTTACACACAGCAAAATAAGTACCTTCCAAGACTCAAAGCTTAACATAATTGTCTTGACTGTAAGACTCTACCTCAGTAACTTCTCATAATATAATATAAGCCTTAATGGACAAAGAGAATTTACAGGAAGTTTAATCAAAGTTCCTCACTCACACAAAGGATTAATCTTGCCCAAGTAGTTAAACACAGTGATAGGTTAGAAGCTCTTCAACCTCTACTAAAATAAAACAAAGTCAAAGTTCTAATAAAATGCTAACTGTCCCAGTGGACATATTTGTTAAAAATGATAGTGAAGAATTAATTATAAGTGAAAGGAAAAATTTTAAACATAGAGGAGAAAATCGTTATGACCTAAGGAAGGGAAGAATTTCTTTCTTCTTTTTTTTTCTTTTTTGGTAGAACTGGAGTTTGAACTCAGGGTTTTATGCTTGTAAAGGAGGCACTCCATTGTGCTCCACTATTTTGCTCTGGTAATTTTGGAACTATTTGCCTGGGCTGACCTCCAACCGCTATCCTCCCGATCTCAGCCTCCCAAGCAACTACAATTACAGGCATGGGCCACTGGCACCCAGGGAAGGAAGAATTTCTTAAACAATATTAAAAAACACAAACCATCAAAGAAAAGAATTGTAAAGTAGACTTAGATTCACAATTTATGTATAATAAAAATTTCACAATGAAGGCAAAAAGACTAGTCACAGTCTTGGAGAAGACACTGTGTCCAGAACAAAGTATCCAACAAAACCCTAAGACAGACGACAGTCCATCAGAAACATGGGTCAAGACTGAACAGGCAACTCTCAGAGGAGAAAAAGAGCTGTCAGCACAGCTGGTGGGAGGGCCCTGGCACAAGTCCAGGGGAGGCAAGCCAGCATTAAGTATCTAGGAAAAGCTGTGTCATCACAGGCATTTCAAGAGCTACACAGCAGCAGGGCCACTGAGAGTGAGGAGCCTGACTGACTGCGGGGCCACGCTCCTATGGCCCTGTGGCTGAGACACTTCCTCACCAGCCAGCTCCCTTCGCTCAGAAGGCCCTTTACAGGGTGCAGGGAGACTAAAAGGAGCTCAACCCCATCCACATAGGGTGATTCCAGGCACTTTGCCTAGTGTGTTAGAAATGCTTATGCTACATTACGTCATAATGGGAAAACTGGTCCCAAATCAGTCTTCCATCCCTGGCAGTTACAGAACACCACTTTCCAACTAAATTCTTGGCACTGATCTAACTCAAGACACTGACTCTACTGGTGTCTACCCGGCAGTATCTAAGACAGTAGCATGACTACACTACGACACATTTTTTTTTTTAAATTCTCTCTCAAAAGTAGACTTGTCCTCTAAAATTCTAGCAACAAGGCTTGCTTCTCAGAAATCAGGGTCAGAAGAGAGTGTTCCAGAATACACAAAGTATCATGTGTTGTACCACAGTGAAGTGTGTTAAGGTTTTAACTACTTAATTAAGGAGGGAGGAAAGGCAGAAATACTGCCAACTGTGTTCTGCCTAACACAACATGAAATCCTCACATGGCTTTCCTTGCTGCAAAAACCTGTGACAAGAGATGACAGTGAGCCATGACCTACCACTGGAGGGCAGACAGTACAAAGCACACCAAGATTAAAGCATTCACTCATATCACATTTAAGATTTAAAATGTATTTGAAAGTGTCCCCTTCCCTAAAAGTTCAAGCAAAATAAATAAAGCAATTAGAAGATATTTAAAACAAGTGTGGGGGGAGGCAGGCACAGGCAAGAATACTGCTTCTTCCCTGAAGCACTCTAAAGTCACTCAGAGAAAACACTGACAGCACATATCAGAAAGTGCATTCTCCTTGGGAAAAGGCCTAGCAATTCCCTCTGACAACTACCAGTAGTCATCGATCTAAACACAACACAACCTAAACAAGTTGTGTACTCCACTGTTTCCAGATTCTGCAACTACAAGCAAGAGGTCCATGTGTGCCAATATAAACAGAGAAAGCCCAAATCTAACTCCTAATCCTCTGAAACTATTAAAGAGAAAATGTCTACAGGCAGACTCCCTTCAAAAGGTTCCATGTATGTCAAGATAACCCAGAAACTGCCAATTGCCTGTTATGAAGGGAACAACTACACTGTAAACTTAGAGATAATTACTATCCAACAAGTCAAGATTTAAAGTATTTGTTTATCTATTTATTTATTTTTGGTGCTAGGGATCGAACCCAATGCCTCACTCATGCTAAGCATACGCTCTACCACTGAGCTGTACCTGTAGTCCCCAGGGTTTAAGATAAATGCACAGCCAAATGCTACTTACTTTTTCACGTCATCATTTCACAAATTCAAAACATGTAAATTTCTAATCTGTATAGGTCATCATGACCAGATGAGAGCAGGTAGGCCTGTGGGAGACAGGGACAGGGAGAATCCTACATCTTGTGATTATATTTTTGGAGTCAGCAGAAAGCAGGTGAGAAGATTTTCTAAATAATCACAAAAATGTCACTATGACCATCAGCAAACTATATATTTCCTTTACAACCCAAGTGTCATTATTTATTAAGGAATCATGATAAAAATATGGAAGGTATTCTCTAAAAGTCAAGAGGAAAGGTTATTAGGGGAATTAAAAAAAAAACCTTGACACTAAAAATGTCTAATAATTTATACCAACTTTAACTGTCAGAAAGGACATTATCACTAGTTGCTATGATTGATTCAGAATGAATGACAAAATTAAGCTTTTCCCATTGTAAAGACTTCTGCTCTTACCTCATAAGACCAGACACACTGCACGCCTGCGAACCTCCGGACACATCTTCCCACCTCCACGTCCTCATGAGTGGTGTACATTTCCCGCAGACACTTGCCAATGTGTGGCACCATTCTGCGAAGCACCTCCCGGCTCATGATCACACCAGGCCCCCCCATGCAGAAGTTCTCACCAGGCTCCAGAGCCAGTTTCCCCATTTCTTCTGTGGTGCCCAGGCCTGTCTGCCCCAGAAAGAGAGGCTCGCTGCTATTCAAACTCCTCAGGAAGCTCTCCAGACGCTCTCCTTTGATGTAAACGTCATCGTCTGCCCTCATAAACCATTCAAACTTGTCCAGGTAGTGGTCATGCATGTACTTGAGCATCATAAAGGACTTCTTCTGGGGCGGGTAGGAGTCGTCAACTCCCCGAAGTGGCACTATGGGAATTGGGATGGATGTGTCTGAGCCCTCACTAGAGAAGAACTCCACCTTCCCAGGAATTGTCTTGGACCACGTTCTGGAAGTAAAACAAATACCAATTAGAGAACAGATTGTTCCAAGCGTCTTACTTTCATAAACTCTTCTATCTGTTGTCTTGAATCTCTGTGTGTGCCTGCTTGGTCTACTTGGTCTGCCTGCCCCTAAAGGAAGCCCCCTCCCTGTGTATTGCAAAGTCCAAATTCATTTTGAAGAACCTCAACAAAAAAGAATGAAGTGTTAAAATAGTTCCAGGGTCACTAAGTTTTAGTTATAGCTGAAAACCAAATCACCAGGTCACCAAGATCTAGGTAGCAGGTGATTTTTATGATACTATCAACTCTACTGACAACAATCCTCAGTTCTATAAAACAAACAATGAAAAAAATCAAATTGTGGCTTAACAAATTTTCTTTGAGCATTCAAGTGCCAAGTACGTGGTAAGCAGAAGAGGTGAGTGGTCAAGTAAAACCACCTCTGGAGCCATGAGGCCAACGTCAAGAGAGACGGACATCTTAACATGGTTACACTCACATACATATATTTCAAACTGAGTACAGGCTCTGCACAAAGCAGCACAGCAGGCAAAAGAAAACAGAGCTGCTTCCCTGAGTACACCATAGCGTATCAGAATGCAGAGCATGGCAGAGGCTGCAAGGGAGGAGATGGACAGAAACTGCAGGGCCCCACAGAGCCCTCGGATGTATGGCCTCTGCTACAAAGTCCCAGGAAGTCACAGAGGGGAAAGGAGCAGGGATAAAGAGTGTGCATTCTCAGACCCCCAAAGGTGCACTAAGGGCTGAAGAAGACAGGGCAGATGCAGAACTGAGTTTAAATGGAAGCTGCTTCCCCATAGACAGAGGAAAGACTGGGACCAATGAAAAGGAAAGAAAACCCTTCTGCTGAAATGAAAACCCTTCTGCTGAACAAAGCTGCCCTCTTCTACTTTTTTTCCTCCTACTAAGAACAGAAGTAATCTAGCTACAACCATTTGTTTATACAGACTACTTCCAGAAGAAACATACGATGGAAAATAAATGAAAGACAGAGGGAGTATCCCTTATTCAAAACGCCTGGGAACAAAAGTGTTTCACATTTTGAATCTTTTTGGATTTGGAGTATGTGCAGAGACTTCACAAGCTAAACATCCCTAATCCAAAACTCTGAAATGCTCTGGCACAGTGAGCGCTGCACTTGAAAGTTTCATCTGATTTTCAGAGCGTTTTGCATTTCTAGATTAAGGATGCTCAACTTGTAGTAAATTGAATCTTAAGAAAAAAAAGCAGTTTCCAAAGGATGTTCTTCTCAATAAATTTTATTTTAATTAACTGTTATAATTGTACTTATATAGTGAAAAAGTGACGTGATGGATCAATTAAACATAAACATATATGTACCTTTAATGGTGCATATGTTTACTTTTCAGGAGAAAAATATCTGAAGAGATATATTCCAAGATAGGTGTGGTGGTATATGACTGTAATCGCAACACCTAGGACATCGGGTAGGAGGATCTTGAGTTCAAGGCAGCCAATCTGAAGCAAGCCAGGGATACATAGCAAGATCCTGTCTCAAAAATAAATACAGGCTGGGCACAGTGGCTCAAACCTGTAATCTTAGCTACTTGTGAGGCTGAGATCAGAACTGCAGTTCCAACCCAGCTTGGGCAAAAAAAAAAAAAAATACTTTGTGAAGCCCTATCTTAATGGAAAAAAAAGCTGAGCCTTGTGGTTCACACCTGCCGACCCAGTAATGGAAGGAAGAGTGAAATAGGAGGATCATGGTCCAGGTTGGCTTGAGCGAAAACGGAGATCCTACCTTTAAAATAACCAAAGCAAAAAGGGCTGGAGGTGTGGCTCAAGCAGTAGAGCTCCTGTCTATCAAGCACAAAGCCCTGAGTTCAAACCCCAGTACCACCGAGATAAATAAATAAATGTATGCATGCACATATGTGTGTGTGTGTTTAATTTTTTTCCCAACTTCTGGGGAAACTAGGTAGGGAAATGAGGAGGGGTAGGAGAGGTGGCTAAAGACGTCTTTCATTCTTTATGCATCTGTATTAAGGGAAATTTTTGTAAGTATCATATTACTTATCTTTGAGAAAAATTTTATGATAAAATATGATCTGTTTGTCACCCTAGCCATTTCTAAGTGTGCATTACCACCGTTTATCTCCAGACCTTTCATTTTGCAAAGCTAAAATTCTGAAACACAGTATTACTTTGCAATTTTAAAACCAATTTACATTGAAGTACTTGAAAAATAAAACAGCTAGCCTTATTTTTCTTCCTAACCAAAATATAAGGAATCAAAATGGCTTCAAACTTATCTCATTCAAACAGGGGAAAACTTCAGTGGATTCAACTTTCTACCAAACATGCCTCTCAAAAGTCCAGATTAAGTATATATCGTTCTCATCAAATCTCAGATGCAATGGTAAGATGTACCATTGCTTCATCTTCCAATAACAAACAAATACTACTGATCACAATCCCTTTGTGCCACTGTAAAATGTTGGAGATGTTAAAATGTAAAAACAAAAGAAGTGCATCTTGGAATAGGTACAACTCAGTTGTGGTTAATGTTTCTTAATATCTGTGGATTTCAAATAAACTTACATTCTATACCGCTTAACCACTTAACACAAAACCAAGAGAGGAGTTCGACACATACAGAACTCTATGGTGTTACAGATACTATGCAGATACTGTATTTCATTTTCACAAAGAATCACTCCTCAAAAGTAAGAAAAGGCAGTAGGGCATGGTAGTGCACACCTGCAGTCCCAGCTACTTTGCAGGCTGAGGTGGATCACTTGAGCCCATGAGTCTGAGACCAGACTGAGCAACACAGCAGGAACCTTTTTCAAAAACAAAACAAAGCTGGGTATGGTAGCTCACATCTGTAATCCTAGCTAATTGGGATGCAGAGATCAGGACGACTAAAATTTGAGGCTGGTTTGGACAGTTTGTGAGACCCATCTCAACAAATAAATAAATAAATAAGAATAAATGAAGAAGAAAGAGAGAAAAAGAGGAAGGAAGGAAGGAAGGAAGGAAGGAAGGAAGGAAGGAAGGAAGAAAAGCTTGGTGTAGTGATGTGTATTTTTAAAATCATGCGTGATTTAAAAAAATCACTAAGGAAAAAAGGCCAGGGGTGTGGCTCAAGTAGTAGAGTCCTGAGTTCAAACTCCTAGATCAACAAAAAACAAAACAAGGCAACAACTCAAGTAAAATAAATACAGAAGAGATGGAGCAGTTAATGTAAAGAGAGAACAACCCTCCTGTAAAGGGACAAGTCCTGTGCAAAACATGGATGACCTTCAACGTCTACAGAATGCACGACTTGTACACATACTCTTGTGACGCGGTCACACACCAGTCTCAGGAAGCCCGTGGTGATGGAATGATGCTTGACCCCCATCCAAGTCAAGAAGCCCCTGACGCTGCTCTCCTTCCATACATTCTTTTTAGAGAATGTAAATAATCTCCGTGCTTGGCACGTAACAGAGGTCAATAAGCATGTGGACTAGACACTGCCCACCCCTATACAGTGAGTGACTTAAAGATGCCACGTGTGTGCTTGCGCAAGAGCAGAAATCATTTCCAGATGAGCTTCACATCACTTTCCATCAGCAGTCACACTTCCTACAGTTCCTCCATGCAGAAAGCTGACGTACAGTGCAAGAAAAGTTATTCAGAGGGGAAAACACAGGCTCGCTGGAGTTGGAAGACACTACCGTTCATGGTACTTCTAAAATATAATTCAAAGCTAAACAGTCCATGACATCTTATGACCAGTTTAAAACGAAAGAATCATAAAGCAACTTTAACTCAGTAATACACACTGTGTTTCTGAAACTAAATGTGATTACTTAAACAGACCAAATTCAAAGTAGTACCGAAGTACCCCCAGAAACCATGAAAATACTAAAGTACCAGGTTATTTTGGGGAGATGAAGTAGCTAAGGTAATTCTAGACTATTAAAGAGGCAATCTACAGTGAGCATGGGCTCAGGAACTGGGTCCTGGGATGAGAACTTATCTTTGGTAAATTATTCTGTACCTCAGTTACCTCATCTGTAAACTGGGGGCAATAATAGTGCCTGCCTTATAGAGTTTTGAATTATATGTGAAGTGCTAAGAAGTCTGCCTGGGATTGTGTCTTACTACTTAAGAAAGACACGAACTTGCAAATAAAATACGGTAGTGAAAGCAAAAATGGGGGAGACAGGAAAGTGTGGGCTGAAGACATTTGGCAGGGTCCTTTCAAGACTTTGCACTAGAGTGAAGATATTATGGACAATGCTTTTGACACATCTGTCTAAAACCCAACTCTCAAGCTATGGACTGTGTAGAATTCTGTTTACTTTCCATCTTGTTCAATGTTAGAAGACACAAGTCAAATAGGAGTTCAAATTTTAGAAGTTTTTGCTTGGAACACCAGTCTCACTGGAGAAGTGATTCAAGTGGTAGAGTTCCTGCTTTGCAAGCATGAAGCCCTGAGTTCAAACCCCAGTCCCACTAAAACCACCAGCCTTTTTCATATTTGACTAAGGCTCAGAAGTCATTTCTGCCTGGCTCTGCTTCCCAGGGCCCCCATACAAAATACAGTGTACTAGTGACATGATCATCACAGATGCATTAATGCCTCAGCTGTGGCTTGAAATGGTGTAATTTGTCCAAGAAGAGAAAGCAATTAATTTTAAAAACAGACAATCTAACCTCACACCCTCCTTAAAAGCCTCTCTGCAGGTTCACTGTGACTCCACCCAATTATTATCTATCCCATTTTAGGTAACCAAAGGGAAACCTCCCATTGTCCTTTCTCTTCTAAATGACAGGTGGTTTGAGGGAACACTCTCAATGTGAGGTCTTTGTAAAAGCTGCAATCTTAAGAAGTCATGATCTTTTCAATTAGGGTAATTTAGCTTCAATCGCTCCAGAATCTAGAACATACCTCAGAACTCAGCATCGTGCAGGAAGAGGAGAAAGGGGGTGCATCAGTAACTTCAAGCTGAAGGAAACAGTGCTGAACAAG